CATATTTGTAAATGAAATAAATTGCACACGTATAAATATCACATCCTCTCTCTGGTGTGAGTACCTGAAAGTGTAAATAAGAATCAAAATGTAAAATGTAAAGTATAAAGAAATTGTCCTTAACGAAAAGGGAACTAGGGGCTGGTGATACAGCTCAGTGGCACAGCACTTGCTTGGCAAGTGCAAGGTCCTGAGTTGTATTCCTGTTACCAAAAACAAAACAAAAAAGGAACTATGGATGGAGAGGGGAAAGGAAGGAAGGGAAAAGAAAAAATGAGAAAAGGATAAAATGGAAACGGAGCTTTGTGAACAGGGAAGGAAAGGTAAGTCAAATGTAAGGGAGGGGAATGAGAAAAAAAGAAGGAATAAAGACATATATACAGGTACAAATTCCTTCATACATTTGTGAACAGGGAAGGAAAGGTAAGTCAAATGTAAGGGAGGGGAATGAGAAAAAAAGAAGGAATAAAGACATATATACAGGTACAAATTCCCTATAATAAATGTGATCATTATGTATAACTAAATTTAACTAAAAAACTTTATTAAACAAAAAAATAAAATCAGTAATTTAAAGCAAAAAATTTACACACAGGACCTACTCCTTCTGTTCCTAGGTATTAACACAAAAACAAAAGATATACATCCACACAAACACTAGTACATGGATATTCACAGAATAGAAAAAGTGCAATCAAATCAGATGTCCAACAGGTGAATGGATGGCTTGTGATGTATCCACACAAAGCAATATTATTCAGCAATAAAAAACAAACTTTTACTACTTTCTAATAATTGCATGGATCTCAAAATAACTACAATGGTAAGGATACCAAAAAAATTAGTATATAAGTTTTTATAAATCATAGTCTGTATGGTTCCATTTAAAACCAGTTCATGATGAAGTAAATCCTGTCAAATCAATTCCCAACACGACCCATCTCTAACAGAGTGCCCTGCAGCTCTCTTCTCAAATTGGTTTTCATTTTGCAGCCCAAAGGGGGGAGTCTTGCTCTTTCCTAACATCCCTTCAAGCTATTTCTACATTGTCCTGACTGAAAGTAGCTGGATTCTTTTTAATTCTAATCTTTTCAACAGCCAAACTCTTATTTGCTCCAACTTTTCAGGCCTGAACTTTACTGACACGTGCTGTGTCCAAATCTAAAAAAAAATTAAATCACCAACTGTTATGCTTCATACATTCTGTCAATCTGGGGAGTCTAGAGGTTTGGCTAGGTGACTCAGCAGTTCTGCATCCTAGGGTGAAAAGGACACGCCCTTACCCTTCTGGGATGTTGCTCATTGTGTCAGTTTGAGAAGTTTAGAAGGTTAACTATGTGACTCAGCAAGGAGCCAGGGTGCTTACTTTGTATTCATCCTGAGCTGGTGCAACAGGAGGGCATGGTATTATGTGTGTGCTACATGCCCACTGGGTGGAGGTAGCCTGCTTACAACGTAAGGGAGGGAAAGAGGCTTGCTCTTATCTGCCACTCCTCTCTTTTGCTCTTGTTGCTTTTGCTATCTTCCCCCGCCATGAACGGTTGCCCTCTGCAATGTGCCACTCTGCCTTGGAGCAAGCCAAGTATGAACTGAAACCTCCACATACTGGAAGCTAAATAAACCTTTCCTTCCTTCATTTTGGGCATCAGGTATTTTGTCTCAGCAGTGAAAGAAAAGTAACCAAGACACCAACCTCTTTTTTTTTTTTGCTGTGATTCTCAACACAGAGCTGACTAAAAGCCCTCAACAGTTTACAGGTAACAGGGTGGATGTTGGGCACACTTGAAATTTCCTTTGCCAGATTAATTTATCTGCTCTCCTTCACCTCAGTATCCTACAAAGTCCTTATTTCATGAACAAAATGAAGACAAAATTTTTGCCATAGCAAAACACATATGGTCTGGAGTCCAACTGCCACTGAAGTCTTTGTTTCCAACTGAAACCTCCTGAGCTCGGCCATTATGTCTGCATTTCTACCACATTCTCGTCTCACCAAACTCAGTTTGTAGCATTCAAGGGCTGCTCCTTCAGTTGGAATCTCAAACCTTTCCCAATTCCTCCTGTGAATCAGTTCCAAAGGCTTTTGAACCCCATGATCAGGTGGTGTCGCAAGTGTCAAAATCTCTGATGTCAAAATCTGTCTTAGGCACTTTCTATATCTCTGGAATGAAACAACTGGCACCCACAACATAAGGGAGAAAAGGTTTACTTTGTTTCACAGTTAGCAGAAGGTTCAGTCTGTAGTGAGTGGGCTGTCAGGCCAGATGGTGTGACACACAGGTATGGCAGAGAAGCTACTCATGACAGCACTGAAGCAGAAAAGGAAAAAGAGGGGAAACAAGGAGGGAGATAAACCCTTCCAGACCACACACCTAGTGCCCTGCCTCTTCTGAGCAGAATACATCACCTAATAGCAAGCCAGCAATAAGGCCCCATAATCCAATAATGTTCCCAAAGCCCTGTCTTTGAGTACATGAGGCTCCTGGGAAACATCTAGATACAAACAATAACACACCCCAATATCTTTTCCTATGTGAGTTTCTCTATGTTATCAGACTGAGGTCAGAATACAATCAAACTTTAAAATGTGTTGTTCTTTTAGCACTATAAAGGCCCAAACATATAGAACTAGGAAAACTAACAATTTCACCAAATCTGCCATAAAATCACAATCTATTTCAACATTTGATTCACTACTGTCAGCTATTTTAAAAAATTTAATGGAAACATAATGTACATAGCTACGGGCCTCAAAGTGATATTTCAATACATATACACACTGTGTAATGATCAAATTATGATACTTAGCATATCTGTCATTGAAACATTAAGTATTTCTTTGTGTGAGAACATTCAAAATCTATTCCTTTAACTACTTAAAAAATCTATTATAGTTAACTCTAGTCACCCATTGCAATAGTATACTAGAAATTATTTCTCCTAATTACAACTTCATACCCAGTGACCCAACTTTCCCCTCTCTTTTTCTCAAATATGATCCAGCTATCCCATTATTGAATATATATCCAAAAGAAATTAAGTCAGTATATTGGAGAAACTTCCACACTTCTGCATTTACTGAAGCACTATTCAGAACAGTCAAGATACGGAATCAACAGAAATGCCTAAACAGAATGATAGGGCAAGAGAGACTCCATTTATCCTTTCTGTCACTCCAGTTTTAAAAGAAGTCACTTAAACTCACTTAAATTGCAGATGAACTCACTCCTCACTCCCTCCCTCCTGGTTAGTCATAAATCCCACTGAGAAAACAGAGCTAGAAAATAGGAACTGAAGAAACAATAAACTGGGGAGTGGGCTAAACATTAAATCACAATGTCCACCTTAGGTTTGCCTGACCAGCCACTTCTGGGAAATATAAACCTTGTGACAATTCTGTGACATTCTTGTTAATTTCCTGAAAATGAGCTAATGTGGGTTAGAGACATGTAAATCAAAACCAAAGAAAATATCATCTTACACCAGTAAGAATGGCCATAATACAAATGACAAAAACACCAAATTCTCTCAAAAATGCAGAAGAAAAAGAGTTCTCTTACACAGTTGTTGGGAATGTAAATTAGCATAGCCTCTATGGAAAACAGTATGAAGGATCCTCAGAAAACTAAAAATAGAACTACTATATGATCCAGCAATGCCTGTACTGGATGTATATCCAAAGGAAATGAAATAGTTATGTCAAAGAGACACATTCACATCCATATTTATTGCAGCACTATGCAAAATAGCCAACAAATGGAATCAATTGAGATGTGCATTAAGAGGTGAATGGATTTAAAAATATGATAAATATGTATATATATATATACACACACACACACATACACACAAGTAATATAACTCATTCATAAAAAGGAATGAACTATCATTTGTAGGAATGTAGATGGCAGTGGAAGATATATTGTTAACTGAAATAAATCAGGCAAAAAGAAATATGTCACCATGTTCACATGCATATGTAGATGCTAAAATGTTGATCTCATTGAAGTAGGAATGGAATAGTGGTCTCGTTGAAGTACAGAGTGGAATAATGGTCACCAGGGCCTGGCAAGAGTATTAAGGAGAGAAACAATGGCTACAGAGTATAAAAGGGCAGCTGGACAGGGGTAACTTCTAATATTCTATAGCACAATATAATAACTATGGTTGTCAACAATTCAATATATATTTCAAAACAGATAGTAGAGAGGATTTGGAATGTTCCTAATGCAATGTAGCAATAAATATCTGAGGTGACAGATATGCTAATTGCTCTGATCTGAACATTACACATTGTACACATGTATGGAAATGTCACATTATACCCCATAGATATGTACAATTGTAATGTATCAAGTACGGATAAAACAAAAATTATCTACATATGTAATTAACAGTAAATTTCTATGTTTAAGAAAAAGTGATGTGGAAAAATACACTAAATTTGGATATATACTTTAGTTGGCTTTAAATATGCACTTTTCGCATATTTACATTTTTAGTTTTGTTAAAGAGAAAGTATGATGTTACCTCAGTTCACAAATTTCTTTCCATGATTCTTGTCCCAAGTTGAACTGGATGAGAACTGAATCAAATTCCATGTTTAGGGTCAAGGTTGATCTTACGGAAGAACTGAATCATATTCAATGGTTAGGGTCAAGGTTAATCTTATGGAGAAAGTTGACTCAGTTCTCATCCAACTCAAATCTAGTCACTCAATTTGCAATTAGAATTGTGGAAATAATTAAGTTTGTGAAATGAGATACCACTGTCCTTCCATATACCTGGTATACATTTAACCTGATAAGAAAGAATCATAGGCCAGAGGCATGGTAGACAAAAGTTAATCTATGCTTAGTTCAATCCATAGATATGAGCTCTAGTAATTAAAACAAATGCCATCATGACACCATCAGATACTCTGCTAATATATAATAGAACATAAGAAAGATTTTAGCAACTGAACACGAATGGAACAAAATAAAACATGTATAACATACCTTTGCTCCGTCTGAAATATTGTCCCAGTTTCCACCACTCAAAGAGAACTTTCCATTGCCTATACGCAGCAGGATTTCTTCAGGAGTATCATTGGGTCCATTAGCGAATGGAGTGTAGCTATAAATAAAACACATTTCAATATACATGAAAGGATAATATATAGACAGCTGACATTGAGCAATGTAAAAATGTATACAAACATTAGAGCAAATTAAAAACACCACAAATATCACTTCACTGTTAATAACAAATTTTAGATTTCAAACAATGAACTTAATCCTAAAAAATTACTCAATAAAATGGAAAAATTTGCCTACATCAATCCTTATTCTTTGATTAGTTACACAATGTGAAATATCGATGTCTTTTCATGTAAACCTAGTCTTAAAATCAGACCAGTAAAGCACACAATTTTTCTATTTTCAGACATAAGTTAGCAAGTAAATATATCTACTATGAAGAAAATATTCATTTTATATATTTATAATGTATTTATTGTTTTTGCTTAATTTATTCACTACTATTTTAACATTGTTAGTGCAACTGTATAAATATTTTCAATTAATATTATAATATGAGTTGATTAAATGCAATACAGATTTCATTGGTATTACAATATAGGCCAAGTTATCCAAGGATGGGAAGATAAATGTTTAAGTTAAAACAGTTTTAGAAAATAATTACAGAATGGCAAAAAGTAATCATTTTTATGAAAGAACTAAAGCTGATATTCAAATATGGGAATTTGAAGACTGATTTATGGTTAAAAGTTGGATGAAGAGAATGAATCAATATCTTAATTCCATCATCTAATATTAAATTGAGAAAATGCTCAATACACACAAATACTACAACCATTTCTTTTTTAGTCATAATGTAAATATTTCAAAATGGCAAGCTAGGGATAGTTTTCTATGGTTTAAAACCAACAAATGTGATTGTATTTACATGTAAATTTTATATACCTGTGCTGTAGTCTATAACTAAATATTCTGCCTAATTTTGTAGTATTTTAAAAGGCACACAAACTACACTAATATGTACAATTATTATGATAAATTATGAGCTTAAGTCATAAATTTTATAACATTAATATAGTAAATTTTGATTTATATATCAGATAGAAATGAGCTTATTATATGCTTTAATATATGTTTTCAAATTTGTAAAATAATGATATTTTTTAAATGTCAGTAGGATTTTTCTTAAGGGTATTTTTATCTATCCTCTTTCTAGATGAAGATATACAGATGAAATTCAAGGAATGATGCAGGTTTATTAGTTTCTTACCCAGCCAACATTGTATAAAAAAGGACTCCTAAACTCCAGATATCACATGCAGCATCATATCCCTGTTGCATAAGAACCTAAGAAAGAAATACTCATTATGTGGAATTACTTGGTATGATGTTAATTTTCTTGTCTAACAAAGTTGTTTCACTTCTAATAATCTCATAAATGGGCAATATATAAAAAGTTCAATATTTTATACATTTAATGCTGAAGGAAACATCTTTTGTAATTAGCAAGCATTGAATAAAAGGGTATTAGTGTAAGCTGATTAAGCAACATAGGCCATCCCCCAAAACAAACTTGTAAAGACATAATCTCTGATCTCAATGAGCTTTCTCTTCTCTTAGGAAGCCAGTAATACAGACATCTAAACTTAAGATTAGTAATATGGGGTCTGGGATATAGCTCAGTGGCACAGCACCTGACTGGCAAGTGTGAGGCCATGAGTTTGATTCCCAGTACGAAAACAAACAAGATTAATATACATAGAGTTTAATATACTAGAAACAGTACTAAAACTCAATGTTGACAATGACTATATGAGGAAGATACTATCTTTCCAATTTTCAAGATGAGGTAACTAAGATGAATGTTACTTACCTTACTCAACATCACAAAACTTCTCAGTAGTAAAGCAGGTATTCTGACTCTAGAGCCTAGGCCTTTAATATCTATGATAACTGGCTCCTTACTACACAAGAGATTGCAGGATAATATATGGTCTTACAAACTTAAGACAAGTAGACAGCAAGACTGATGTAGAAAACAGTAGTATATTTCTGGACTAAAATCCCACGTTGGTAAATTCTGAACAGCTTCATTATTTTTTTATACCACAATTTACATAACTCTTTTTGCTCTTGGGACCAGTATTAGTAAAAATCAAATATTTTCACTATCTATTCAAGTGACATTTCTCTATGAAGTTAATACAGCTTCTTAGAGAAATAAAGAACTGAAGCCACCATTTTCATTTAGATAAACAAGGTCACTGGAAAAGCCTCTAGGCACAAGAACAAAATAGAAATGTTACTAATGCATTTACACTGAAGATTGCATAAATATTAGCATGAACGTTTTATTGATAAAAGACTAAAATATTAACATTTGAGTCTGACAATTGCCAGGCATCAGTAATGAGTATATAACTAACTTAAAATTCAAAATATAATGTGTTTTTCCTGCTCAAAATGTATTTACACAAACACATGAGCAAAAGTGGGAATCTACAAAAGTCAAAGACTATATATAATTGTCTTAAATAAAGAATACAAGTAGGCACTCCAAAGACCTTAATAAATAACAATGCAGAGATACACTATTCACATCATGGTCAGTGTAAATTGGCATACTCTAGTAATTAACTAAACCTCTACTGTTTTCATTACTGCATCTCTTTTCTCTTTCTCATCACCTTTTATAGTCCTAGGGAATCACATGTTTTCCCGTAAAAAGTTTTTGAAAGCTTCTCTGATGATTCAGTGCATAATCACTCTTAAGGGTCACTATTTCGGACAGGTGAGGATTTCCATAGCCTTTCAGGTCAGTGGTGCACACCTATAGTAACTGCTACACAAGAGGCTGACATATTGCTTAATTAGGGCAAACAGTGAAAAACTAGAGTTAGATTTGCTATATGTTTAAAACACTTGACATGGAAGAAGAGATGGTTCAATTTTGTTGTATAGCTAGTCTCAGTGCCCTACAACAGTAAGACTACGTAAACATAAAACGAGGAAAGAAATTGGAACCAGTGGGGGCTGGGGATTTAGCTCAGCAGCAAAGCGCCTGCCTGGCAAGCGCAAGGTCGTGAGTTTAGTTCCTTGTACCGGAGAAACCTCCCCCCACAAAAAAAAAAAAAAAGAAATTGGAACCAATGAAAAATGTATAGTGCAAAGGCTGTGTTTCATGTGTTTTACTTGTATCAAGTTAAATAGGGAGGAAAAAAGTCATAATAGAGGAAGTCAATGTCATAACCCTCTCTTTCAGTTGGCTTCCCAAATCTGCCGAAAGGAACATACACAGAAATTCTTATTACCTTTGCTCTGCAGTTTGAATTAATTCATATTTGGAGTAAAACATATGACAGCCCAGAGCTACAGAGAGGAATTTCAACATAATTTTATCAAGAGCTGCAAATACCACATTCCTCAGCTTTAGTATAAGCTCTATCATCAATTCAGGGATACTTGTGGTATTCAGGAGGCAATATATATCAGTTGAATAATGAATGGATTTGTCTTCATAAAAGAATAAAATAATTTGGTGATGTATTAACTTTTGTGACATATGTACATAGGAGAGAAAAATCTATAAAATAAATCCTAAGAGGTTAATTGAAATGATGCATAAACTAAAAATTTAATGCGTATTCTCTCCTTACTGTTAAACTAATAATAATCAGCTTTTCTCTTAGCAAACCAGGGAGCTTTATGCACTGTGATGAAATAAAGAATATAAAGCTCTATAAATGCCATTCTTTATTTAAATGTCTGGTGATTTTCTGATTATAGTTTAAAAAATACCATTTATATAATTTGAAATTTTGACAATGTCTGAAATTTTAGAAACATATACTGCTAAAATGATCTCTTTATTTTATTCATAACAAATTATAAACATTTGTTCATTGTTATCAGGTACTTTAGCACTTGACAAAACTTTTCAAAGCATTTCAAAAATATAAGTCCCAACCAAAATAGTTCAGGAAGTAGTTATACAGACATAGTCTTCATATATCCACCTCAAAACCTTCATTATTACACTGGTAAAAGTGTCTTACTACGTGGAATTTTGCTGAGATAAAGCATTATTGGGCTATAGTCTGCTCTAAATTTGCACTCATTTAAAATGTTTTCTCTAATTATTAATCTTAAAATGTTTACCTAACCATTGATTTAAACAGAGACATGTGACATACAGTATTTTGCATTTTAAATGTTCTTTTTACACATATTCATTTGGGACACATTCTCCTCGATATTTTTCTAGCAAAGAAGAGGTCCAGGTCCACAAGATTAAGTCAGTATTAAGAACTTAGCCATTATTAAGTGTTACTGTATAGCCTATTCTTCTGTCTATTGCACAAATCTGCCACAACACTCATAAAGACCATATAGCCTACATTGAGTGGAAGAGCCTTAACCTCAAATATTGTATCCTTCTGTCATATAAAATCACTGAAATATTCCAAAAAGGCTAACATTTTCTATGTCCAAACATTTATTTCATGTACCAAGAGGTAATACAATGACCCTTTGTTGTATCAGTGTTCTAATTTTTATTTTTATTTTATTTTTTATTTTTTTTGTTTTTTGGTTTTTCTCCGGTACCAGGAACCGAACTCACGACCTTGCGCTTGCCAGGCAGGCGCTTTTGCCGCTGAGCTAAATCCCCAGCCCCTCTAATTTTTATTTTGAAAAATAGTTTCTATCCCACATAAAATGGTAAAAACATGTACACTGATTATTATGTGAATTTCACTAAAATAAAGATTTAATTACGTTTTCTGAACATATGCATAATTTCTATAGAGGAAATCTCTCACTATAAAAAGTCTATAAAGCAGGTGCTATTCCTTTTCTTCAATATTAATATCTTAAAGCAAGATTGAGAAAATTTTTGAAAGAATTTTGCATTATAAGAAAGATACCTTTCTATATTTCTATTTTTAATAGTAGGAAAATTATTTTTCTAATAGTTGCCTTAAAAGCAGAGTAAAATAAAATACTAGCCAAAAGACTAGTAGTTAATATATGAATATGAGACAGGAATTCATGTTCAAATTATTTTATTTTGCTTTTTCTCTGATTTGGCAAATTTAATTTTTTTAAGCCTAAAGTTTTAGGCATTCTGATGTGTACTGAACATTCAATAATTTATACTGGTTATCATTGTCCATAACACATAAGAAAAATTCCTGATTTACAAAGAAAACGTCAAAGAAATTTATATGTGCAATGCCATCCTTGATCCATTTTTCATCAGTATTACTTTCACTGCTATGGGAATGCTAGTGTCACAGGTCCTACCACCACGATCAGGTGGTTGGAACTTTCCAGATATGAAGTTTGTATCTGAGCCTGGCCAAGCTCACCTGAGCTGACTTGTCCCCCTACACATTATTCATACTATTGCTGAAACACAATACTTAACAATATCAACTTGAAGGAGGAATGGTATATTTTGGCTCATGGTTTATTTCACAGTGAGCTGGCTGCAGGCCACAAATATCATGGTGGAGGGACATAGTGAAGGACAGCTGCTTGACCCATGATGGCCAGGAAGCAAGGAGAGAAAGGAAGAAACAGGGACAAGAATCTACCCTTCCTTGTTGTGCTCCCAGTGATCCATCCTTCCAACCAGGCCCAACCTCCTAATAGCACAGGAACTACTAAATTCATCAAGAGATGGATTCACTGATAAGGGTAGCAGTCTAATGAGCTAATCAACTTCCAAACACATAAGACTTTTGGGGTATACTTTAGATCTAAACCACAACACCCTAAGACCTACATATCAATTTAAAATAAAAAAACAAACCTTTGAAGCTCTTTCCTCTGAAAGTTACAGAGTCTGAGTAATCAGGGATGATGACATTGCCCCATATGCTGTGCATAAAGCTAACCGATATAAATTATCTACAGAATGAATTGACATTTTTAGTAAGTGGATAGTGGGTCATGAATAAATAATGCAAGTGTTTGGAGACTCATTTTCCCCATTTAGAATATGTAATGTGAAATTGTGGCCATCATTACCCTTTCTAACAGTTCAAAAATGGTATAATTTTGAATCAAGTACATAATCCAATAGAATAAAAGAGTCTGCTTATTACATCTATATTGATTTTAGATACTAGCTACTAGAACGAATACTTATATTAGGTATTATAAGAATTCACTAGTTTAAAGGCCATTATGCTGAGAAAGAACAAAATAACTCAAGTTTAACTTGCCTGCTGTAACATATACACAATTTCATAAACATTTAACCAAAGGAAAAGAATGAAAGGTAAATGCTAAAATTTTTAAAGAATACCTCAGGTGCCACAAAGTTTGCAGTGTAGCATGGGGTTAAGAGAAGTCCACTTTCTCCTCCAAGTTGTTTTGCAAACCCAAAATCACAGATCCTAATTGACTCTGCATTAGTTGATTCATCCATGTATAAAATATTACTAGGCTTAAGATCCCGATGAACAACCTTGAATACAAAAGAATAATCATTAAATTTCTATAGCTAAATAAATTTTTGTGAGATAATTTTTTGTATTTGCAGGAAAAGAAAATACCAATTATAAAACAGAATCAAGATGTGTTATGTACATCTACCAGCTCCAAGCATGGAATGTGTTCATTATATACTGCAAACATATATTCATAAAGAAAAAGAAAATTGAAGAAATTAAAATTTTGAAAATGCAATTTTCTCTAACCTATGGTCAAATTATACACAGAAAATTATCTTGGGAAGTTTCTGGCAAGAAGTAATCTTTGTGTGATTCTGTGATTCACAACCGTCAGCCCAGAAAAGGAGAAACTATTTCCTTGCCATCAACAGTGAGGAAGAATTCTGTTAACCAACAGAAAAGCAAAAGGATATCTTAAACAGCATAGAAATTTGGAAAAACAATGCAGATACGGGTATGAGACAATTTATAATTTCAAGCCCGGCTCCCTCGCTTAGAGACAGGTAACACAACGTCAACAGCATAAGGCAAGTGCTCAATGAATCCAATTTCCAGTAGTACAAACTGGTTGGTGACCCTGTCCATGGGAGAAAGTGACAGTTCATACAAGTTTTTACCCAGGGTCAGAGATTTGGTCTGAAAGTGACTCCATGTGCAACAAAAAAAAACCCCTGACATTAAGCTCTGCAAATCCTCAGAAGACTATATCCAAAAGTCATCCTGACAGGGTTCCTATTATTAGGAACTAATCCCCTCTAGATAGTTGAAGGCTCAAAGCAGTCACAAGTATGGCTCCCTTCCAGTGGATGACTTGCTGCATTGAGTGGGCAGGATAAGGCCACATGAGGTAGCCTTGGCTGAGGGGAGTGTGGAAGAGGAGTCTGGAATTTTGAGTAACACCAAAAGCGTGGGCTACAGCGTGAGAGTACAGAGTGCAACTAGCCATGCTCTGAGTAACTAGAAGTGAAAGCACCATGTTTAAGAACAGTATACATTTGAGAGGAATAAATACAGACTGCTTTATCCTTATGGCCACTTCTCCATCATAGAACTTAGTGGCTTAATTGCTCCCCGTATGCCATAAGGTTTGTTAGGGATATAGAGCCATACCAGAGTTTGGCCATTTGCCACACTCCCAGGTGTATAGTCTAGAATCACCTGGCCGAAGGCTATGGCCAATTGGAACAGCCCACAAGTTACCAAGATACAGGCATTGAAGAGGGAGAGCTGCAGTCCAAACACAGGCTACTCCATTGGCCAAGCAGATCAAGGGCTCAAGAGAGGCTGACTACTTGCCTTGCATGGTCCAAAGGCTGCCAGGCCAAGACCAGTGAAAAGGGCTCCTGCCAGATACTTAGTCATTTCCCACACTGCTATCCACACAGACAGAGCAGGTAGGGAAAATGTATACATGTCTTGTGCACTCTAGATGCCACTGAGGCTTGGCTGGAGACAACAGACCCTGGCCACCACACAGTCTACTGCCACAACCCTGTGTATACACAGAAAAGCCCTTCTCAGGAACTACATCCTGGAAGTAGCCAACATTATCTCAGCTTGCGAAGCAAGAGTGTGCATAACAAGCAAGTAGGCCTAACCAGTTCATGAAAACTGAGAAAGCAAACATAGTTGCTTCTCATTTCCCACCCCACACCTGGCAAACTCTCTCCAAGTCAAATTCTTTAGGCAGAATGAATTCTACTAATTTTCAGTTTTAGTTTCTATTTTTTGTTTTCATTCTGTTCTTTTTCCCACCTATCCTATTTTTAATCATATATACCTTTTCTTATTTTTAACTTCTTTTTTTCTTTTTTTTACTATTTTCCTTACATTTACTCTGTACTTTAAATTTCCCTCTCTTCTCCTTGGACTTTATGTCATTCTTTCTTTCCCATTTTCCTATTTTTCTTTCATATATTTTTTCTTTTTTCTCCTTTCTCCTCTTTTCATCGCTTCTGTGATTCATTTTAATTTTGTTATTCGTTTGTTGACTTATTCTTTGTTTCATTAATCTTTCACTTATTAGTGTATTATATACTATTTTTGCGGCATTATTTTCTTAGGGTTATGGATGCTATGCTTATGATTTTTTGATTTGGTTTTCACTGTAATGCTAGATTGGGTTTATTTGCATGTGGGGATAACCAATGTTATTTTTTTGTCTCCCCTCTAAGCAGTGCTGGGGATCAAGTTTGGCACATAAATACCTTGGGTGGGTGCTGTATTGCTGGGCTACATTACTAATCCCCGTGAGAGGAACTGAACCTGACTTAAACCACCTCTTTGTCTGACTTGAATCTTACCAGATACTTCCACCCGAACAAGGGTAATAAAATCCCCCAGCAACAAACTGGCCCCAAAAAGGCACAACCGGATGGTTGGAGTCTTGATTTTGGATATTTACCCCCAAAACAACAGCAGAAAGAAAGAATACTTCTGTCAAAATACACCTACAAAACATCCTAGAAAATTGCACCATTTATCTTTGAGACACTTTGTTGACAAAATTAGAGAAAAATCCAGAGAGAGTTATACTCCATGTATACTGCTGTTTCAAATACACCTGCCTTACCCAACACAGGGAAGCTACCTTTTAAAGATTTGCAGAGAAAGCAGGTCACTCAATCTGTGACACAGCACATGCTGTACCAATTAACATTAGTTACAGACAAATAAACCACAGTGAAAATACATAGCAAAATCCTCTTAGAACAAAACTTACTACTACACAACAGATTGATACCCAGGATGCATGGTCAAGAGCAACCTTCTCCCTAAGAAGAGCCGCTCATAAAAGGTTAAGAGGATTCCATGCCAATAGATAAGCAAATCATGATGTAGAATCTGAGGAACTATGAAAAAAAGGCAACATGACTTCTCCAAGAGTTATTACTTCCATAGTAACCGATCCCAATGATACTTAAATTGTCAAAATACCAAAGGATTCAAAAGCATAATGACAAAATGATCAACAAACTCAAAATATAGGGAATGAAAAAAATATTGCAGGGGAAAATGAAGAAAATAGAACTTTTGAAAATGAGAAGGGGGCCGAGAGTTGGAAGTAGCAGGGATAGAGGGAAGGGGTAGGAAATTTAAAAAAAAAAAGTGTATTATGAAAATATGTCAATTCCCCAAAATAACTGTAATCACTATGTACTGTAAACACATACTAATAAAAATACTCAGTGATATAAAGGAGGCAATAAAAGATGTGCAAGAAAATTTTAATAAAGATAGATTATAAAAAAGAAAACAAATTTTGAGAATAAAATGCTCAATTAAAAAAGAAACGTTTAAATCGAAAGTGTCCCCAATAGCCAAGGTCAAGCGGAAGACAGAATTTCTAGGCTTGAAGATAGGTAGATAAAATATTACATTCAGACAGGAATAAAGAAAAAAATATGAACAAACCATGCAGCACATCTGGGACACGAGCAATAGAACAAACTTAAGAGGGCTATGAAAAACAGACTACAGACAGAAAATCTACTTAGTAAAAAAATACCAGAAAATTTCCTCAATTTTGAGAAATATGTAGACATTCAAGTACAAGATGAATTTAGAACCTCAAACAGATATGACCAGAAATATACCTCCCAGATTAAACTATAAAATGTCAAAATGACAGAACAAAGAAAGAATATTAAAAGCAACAAGAGAGACTCCAAATCACTTGTAAAGATAAGGTCATCTGAATAATAGCACATTTTTCAGGAAAAACTTTAAGAGTGGGGAGGTATCAAATGATGAAACTACATTACTGTGTCCAATAAAGTCATCTTTCAGAATTGAAGAAGAAATAAAGACATTTCAAGAAAAGCAGAAACTACAGGAAACATTATTCCAACATAACAGAGAAAATTTAAAGGAACACCACATAGAAAAACAGGAACAAAAAGAAACAAGCAAATGACTAGTAGGAAAGAATCAAGCATCAGAAAATCAGAAAAATCTAAGAATTAGCATATATATTTTATTAATAACCCTGAATGTAAATGATCTTAAATCTCCGAGTGATAGAACCCAATTGGTGAACTGGATTAGAAAATATGATGCAACTGTGTGATACATGTAAGAACGACAGTCATCAATGAAGACACACACTGAGAAAAAGTGAAAGGATGGAAAATGACATTCCTGGTAAATGGAAACCAAAAGCAAGTAGAAGTACCTATACTCACACCCAAAACAGCAGATTTCATTCAAGTCAAGATAGAAGATATAAAGAAAATCAATATATATTGGAAAGGGGAATAAGCCACCAGGAAAATATAACAATTGCAAATACATATGCCACAAACTTCATAAATAAGCACATCTGGATACTAAGAGAGAAATCCCAATATAATAATAGTGGGTGACCTGAGCATATTACTCTCACAAATAGGTCATACAGACAAAGAATTCAATAAAGAAATATCTAAGTTAAAAGTATTACATACCAAATGGACTAAGCAAATATCTACAGAATATTTCAAGCAGAGAATTCATAGTCTTTTCAATAACTCATGGAAATTTCCCCAAAACCAGACATTATTTTAGGCCATGAAGTAAATCTTAAGTAAAAAAATAATTGGAATATTCTTATACAATATCATCAGATCATAATGGAAAGGAACTAGACATCAGCTAGAGAAACTACAGAAACCACATGAACAAATGAGGTTAAATAATACACCTTTGAACTAGCACAGAGTCACTGCAGAAATTAGGGAAGAAATTTTGAAAATCTTAGAATGAAATTAAATGGTAAAACAATATACCAGAATGTGAGTGAAAGAAGTTCTCAGAGGAAAGTTTATAGATAACAGTTTATAGCCTACTTTAAAAAACCCAAGAGATCTCAAGTAAGTGAACTAACAGTACACATCAAGGTCTTTCAGACACAAGGAGAAATTAAACACAAAACCTATGGAAGGAAAGAAATAATAAAGACGAGAGTTCAAATTAGTGAAGTAGACTAAGAGAACAGTACAAAAAATGAGAAGAACAGGAAAAAGGAACTAGGATG